ACAGTCAGCTGAAGTGGCCTGCAGTACTGCACCCTAACCACTGCGCCACCTTGGCTCTTTCTGACCAGTTCTGGAGAACCGCTAGTGGAAATTTTGAATAGTTTGGAGAAACGGTAAATGCCACCTCTGACTGGCCCCACCCCCATCTTTTCTCTGCCTCCCAAGTCCCAGCTGATCAGGAGGAAATTAGGATTTTGCAGTATCCTTCCCCTGGAGTGGGGAGGGAATGGAGATTTTGCAGTATCCTTCCCCTGCCATGCCCACCAAGCCACACCATGTCCACCAAGCCACGCTCACAGAACCGGTAGTAGAAAAATTTGAATCCCACCACTGACACACACATTTAATTTACCATAATGATTCAGGAAGTATATATTTGCAATTTGAATGAGACAATGAAATACAAAATGAACCAAGTTTGTCTTCATTCTTGCACAATTCCAGCCATCTTTATATGGTCTTTTCTCATGACTCGGTAAGTTCCTTATTCACTTGAGAGGTAAACAGAGATTCTAAAACAAATCTAATGGAGTCAGGACAGAACCAGAAGCAAATAATAAAAGGAGGAGAAGGTTTAAGTGAAAAAGATATAACTATAGGAAGACAATTCAGTGAAATGACTAGGGATATAAGCAATGTTGAAATTCTATGCAATTCAAAAATTTTGTTTTTCTTTCATTAAGGAAAATGGTCAACGAAAATATGGAGGGCCACCACCAGATTGGAATGGACCACCCCCAGAACGAGGTTGTGAGATTTTCGTTGGAAAACTTCCCCGAGATCTCTTTGAAGATGAACTTATTCCATTATGTGAAAAAGTAATAATATAATTTAGTAGGTTTTCTTTTCTTCAATATTCAAAGGAATGAAGTTATTGGCAGGACTTGTACCTAAAGCAAGTAAAATTAAATGAACGTTTCTCTGCGGTCCCGGTGTCTGGATTTCTCAGGAGAAATTGGAGATCTGAATGTATTTTTGTGGATGCAACACATTTCTTTGGATATTTTTTTCTCTAGAACAGCACCACATGTTAAACAGAGGCTCTACCAGAGCAGCTCAAATGTTACATTTTCTAACATCTCATAGGTCATAGTCAAAACCTTGTTGGGCTCCCCAGAGCAGTGGGTTGCCAGGTGTAAACCTTATCCTTTAATGTATCCATGGTTCACACAGCACAGCACTGCTCTGTCTCCGTTTCATTCACTTTTAATAATTGCACAACAAATAACCCACTTTTAAATATTGACTGGAGGTAGCCAATTTGCAATTCCCACCCCAATAATTTTAACCACCATGGCCATTGGCCACTGCTGGCTAGGGTATACGGGAATTGAAATCAAACACATTTGGAAGATAGCAATTGGAAGATAGAAAATTATTCTTCAGAGTATACTCAATGTCTCAGTGAGGGCTAAGTATACAAACGCAGCCACCTGTCTATTTATTTTCCTTAGGCTTATATGTCACTTCATTCATAACCGAGCCAAGGTGGAGCAGTGGTTAAATGCAGCACTGCAGACTACTTCAGCTGATTGCAGTTCTGCAGTTCGGCTGTTCAAATCTCACC